TTTACTCACCCCCATGTCATCCAAGATGTCCATGTCTTTCTTTCTTCAGACGAAAAGGAATTAAGGTTTTTGATGAAAACATTCCAGGATTTTTCTCCATATAATGGACTTTAATGGGAACCAAACGGTTCAAGGTCCAAATGACAGTTCGAACTCGTTCATCAAAATGAACAAATCTTTTTTTCAAGAAATTTCATTCGTTCAATCAACCAAATGACTCGGAAAACGTTTTTAGAGTCACAAACGCCCATCACAGAACAGAGCAAGGCGAGCATTTGAGCTTATAAAACTTAAACTTTTGTATTTATTTTTTAAGTAGATAAGTCCCTTATTCATCGTCTGGTGTCGTTTAAAGCCCTTTGAAGCTGCACTGAAACTCTCATTTGGACCTTGATCCGTTTGGTTCCCATTGAAGTCCATTATATGGAGAAAAATCAGAAAGAAAGACATTGACACATTCGATGACATGGGGTTGAGTAAATTATCAGCAAAAGTTTTTTTTTTTTTAAAGTGAACTATCCCTCCATGGCCAATTGGTCAATTGCTTGAGAAATTTCCAGTATAGGTTTAGTTTCTGTTGTTCGGCACATTACCCATTACTCCGACCTGCAGCTATCCCCGTCACGATGAATCCTGTCTCAGTTTATCTCTAATCATTTGGGTTGTTATTCACATATGCTAATGTAACCATATGCTGAATAATACAGATAGTTATTTAAATCAACTCTAGTTTGTGTGTATGGATGTTTTTTAGAGACTAACCTGAATAGTCAGTAGGTAATTCATATGTAGCTCCAGTGTCAATCTCCTCACACGATACAGACAGGAGCTGTAAACCAATAATCTTCACCAAATCTCCAGTAGATAAACACACTTCACTTCCCGAAAGCTCATATACGGACCCTGAAAATAACACATCATCATGTCCTATTTGCATATCTGCGTTCATTTTTAAAAGTTTATTTCCGACAACATTTAATCCCATTAAAACAAAGTCAGACATAGGGAGTCATTTTTTAGTACATTGAAAGTAAATTCCTTATGTGGTATTGATTAAATTTTATTTTTGAAGGCCTATTTCATTTTTAATGGTGTACTTCACTCAAATATGCATTGTGGTTATTTAAAACAGTGCATTTCAACTTTTGGAACCCCTAAAATCTGTTGCAGCAGGTGAAAACAAACTATTCAAATCAAACGATTCAGTGTAGTTTAGTGAAATAAACAGCTGATCATCTTTTAAAAGTGAAAAGAAAACACTCATTTCTTGTTGTTGATGTCAAAGGCGTCTAATCAATCTCAATATCTTAGTGCAACTATATCTGTCACTTTAGAAGATGCCAAGCTGGACAGGTCGTGAGACGTGCCCTCATTCTCAAAACCAAGATTTTAATTTTAATACATTTCGGTTTGGGGAATTTAAGGATATTTTTATTTTTGAATAACAAACTAACTTTGGTTTCACCATTTGGTTTCACCACAAAAAGCTGACAACCACTGATTTAATGCATGATTTATGCAGTCATGAGCAATCTTTCACTTTTTATTTGAGTTCCCCCTTTATATAAACAATCGTTGCAGGCTATTGTTTTTTGTTTTTTTGTTTTGTTTGATGCAGACAATACTAAACCAGATCCGGTCATAGATTCACTAGTGAAGTCGCACAGCATAAACCACGTTGATGAGGGGAAAAAAAGGTGCATGTCCTGTTTGTGGTCGAAAGCTAAACATACTGTGAGTGTGAACATAAATGTATTATGTTCACACATAAAAATGTCAAATCACTTCTGTTTAACTAATTAATATTTTAATGAACAATTACAATGCAAAACACATTTATGGACATGGACTGTAGGATTTTAGTTGTTTGTTTTTTCCCCTTTGAAAAATTGTCATCCAGAATATGCTGAGAGAATAAAAGCATGAAACATACCCTGGAAATAAACCCCAGAGCAGACCTGGAGGACCCGGGGCAGAGACTGCTGATCCAGACAGTTGATGAAGACTCGTAAGGACTGGAGGTCTCCCATCTCTCACGGCGGACAGTCACACACACACTGCGCTGATCTGCTATTTTCACACATTATAGACAAGAGAGGAAGTCTCAAAAGTGACTCACCCAGAAACCACAATCACCATAGTGAACTGCGCACAGACTTTTATTTGAATATGTTTAGTTAATGTTTTATTTAAATATTCGATTTAGTGTAGCCTATGTACTGTACTTCAATATTTTGTTTCAACATATAACTGCATAACATTAAATCTTTATGCGGTTTCACTTGTGTGACCACAACTGTCTATTGTCTACACAACTGGCAACTATCTCCCGGACAACTCCTTTTATGGCAGAGGCTTAGCTCATGAATATTAATTAAGTAATGCTGCTTTTTATTGGTTAACCTCCCTAAAAGGGTGTTCCCACACTATGTAAATACATAAACATAAGGTGAGTTCCATTTGACAGGGTCCCTACGCAGTGTTCACTGCTCCCTACTCCCTGAACACGGTTTATCATTTGAAGTGGACTTCACTGACTTCCTGTGAAGTGATCTATCAATGTTCCCTTATTCCCTATGCCGTTTGCAGTGCCCTTCGAACTGAACATGTTTGTTCCCTTCGAATTGGAATCTCACTTATATACCCTGTGAAGTCCACTTCGCAGTCCACTTACGGTCGAATGGAACGCACCTAGCCTATAGCTTCAAAATCGACCACTCCATGCACGTCAGTGCGTCCGCCATCTTGCAACGGTCAGCATGCGAATCAAAAAATGCCACAACACTGCACAGTTTCTGGTTGAAAAATTCTGGATTCTCCAAAGAAATGGGATAACCTTTTACATTGATTTGTGTTTTTGTACATATTAACTCAATGTTACTGTTTTTCATACTGTGGTAACTTAATGTTGTGTTAGCTGACTTCTTCGTCTTGTTGATTTTTGTTAGTTTTCTATATTCATGTGCTGAAGTTTATTACAGATATTGATTTGTTTAACTAGTAGCAACAGCCTCTGGTGAAACGGCAACGGCAACGGCAACGGCATTCTGGCGTTCTATTGCGCATGCGCGACATTACCTGTTACTTCTTGACGTTCTACTGTAACCGTCTACTACGGGAAAACAGCTGATTTGCCGTAGTCGTTACTACGTGACAGATTAAGACAGTTAATGTTATGTTTTAGGTTATGTGGCATTGAAATCGTTTCTGTATATCATTAAGTGCTAAAATCAACCCTTCTCTTTCTTTTTAAAACCACTTTCTTTTTGTATTTTGTCTGATGATTAAATTATTCCCTATGCCGTCCTCTTTACTGTTGCTTAGTGATTTTTCTCTTCAACGAGACTCGTCACTAGTTCACTGGGACTCATCTCTTCACCACACCGGTGTTTTGACCGTTGCAATATGGCGGACGGTTAACGATTACAGTGCCCTAATGAGGATTCTATGTTTGTATATCTATGGTTCACACCACAGAGGGGTTCGCGCACTTACTCACGTATGCCTTTGAGCCAATCAGTTACGACTACTGAGAGAAATACGCGTTACGTCGTTAATATTCATGAGCCGGAAGACGTGCCGTTTTAGCAGCTTACCCAGGATGCTCGGCGTGTCGATAGCATTGAAGAATGTGTGACAATGGCAACAAATACTACAGAGATGAATCCAAATTTCGACTGTCCGTCATGGTAATAAATAAAAACAAACAAATACACTGCAGTCTATGCTAAGTTTAGTGCATGAAAAAGGTGTATTCTTACCCAGCATTAGAACAATAATCTTACACCGAACTGTTAGCTCTCTTGCTCTTTAGCAGACACACCGTCACACTAATGGAACTGAAACTTGTTTTACAAAGAGCATTATTTGTGTAGAAGAGTTTATTCATGCTCATTGATCAAACTATGGAACATCCCAGAAGCTAAATGCTTTATTTCTGATCATAATCTGCACAATGGATGATTTGTGGGATGAGTTCATGAGTTTCTCCTTCCAGGGCAGGGAAGCCTCCAGCAGGGCTGCATTTGGACGTCGTGAAAGGAGACAAACTTGTTGAGGTATTGCAATGATTTTTTTTTTTTTAAAAATATTGGTTAATAACTTAAGTAGACTTAGTAATGAGAACTTAACCATCACATATTTTGTAAATTGTTCTGAGTACTCCACCTTGTGTGGTTGCAAACCTGTATTCTGTTACATGGAAGACAAAAGTGAAAATAATTTTCACAAAATTAAATTTTTCAAAATTATTGATGCAAGTCTTTTCCATGCAAAGTGTAAAGTGACCACACCTCCAAAAAGGACCAATGTTAGCTATATATACAGTATATAATATATATACAGTACTGTTCAAAAGTCTTAGTCATGTTAAAATGGTTTTAAGCCAGTTATTTTCTGTAGTATGTCAGTAGGAAATATCAGTTTACATTTCCAAATATTCCTTTTGCTCTTAATTGTAATAATCCAGTGAGATTTTTGAAGAACTGAGACGCTTGAAGAAACTTTACTGCAAATCTTCCTGAAAAACTATGCGTAAGTGTACCTGGACAAAAGCTATTTTAAATTATTTAAAATTATTATTTTAATTATTATTTAAAAGTATCCATTATTTTAGAGGCATCCTTTCTTTACAGTGTTTTTACTAAACTTTCCACAGCACTGTAAGTTAGCTTTGCAGGTCGATTTATTTAAACGTCTTGGAAACATTGCGGCAGTTCATCCGTTTTTTTCTGTAAAGTGATATTTCCTTCTGACATACTACAGCAAATTATAGAAATAACTGGCTTAAAACTATTTTTGGAAGGGTGGAAATATTAATGTGCCTAAGACTACTGCGTATAGGCTATATATAAATGGCTAATGGGCCATATTACATGTATATAACCATAACAGAATAGCATGCGTTGTATTTATTTATCTGGGTAAACCTATCTTTTTTATATATATATATAAAAATAAAATAAAAAATTAAATGACCGTTTGTCCAACATGCCACAGCGATGCACCAGATACTGACCTGACCGCCTGCAGCTCAGTTGAGTTTTATTCTTCCCACACTGATGCGTGCATTATGGTGGCCTTCAGGTCCAAAAGCGGTGCTAGAGAAACAAGACCCTGAGATTTAAGCTCTGAGAGAGGAGTCACTCCTCAGGTGTTATAACTCCAGGGCACATCATGATGACATGCTATGTGTACTGGGTCGTTTGACAAAATACTGTGATGCTATCTGGACACTGAATATATTGCAGCAGGATAGTGGTTTATATACAGTGCCACAGGTGAAAATGGTAACATTGTTAACCAATAGAAATCACCATACTTCCCCAGTGGATTAATCACAGTACATTAAGACTTACATTTTGTACAAGTTTCCTGAAATATGAGGTGGCATCTTTACCTACATTTACAGCACTGAAATGTAGGTAAAGAACTGAAAAATTCATTCAATTTTCACTGAAAAATTCATTCAATTTTGGTGACATATTAAAGGATTTTACTAGGCCTGTCAAATGATTAATCGCGATTAATCGCATCCAAAATAAAAGTTTGTGTTTACATAATATATGTGGGTGCACTGTGTATAATTATTTTATATATATATATATATATATATATATATACACACACACACATGCTTGTATATATTTAAGAAATATTTTCATGTATATACTGTATATACAGTAGATTTATATATAATTTATATTTATATTTAATTTATATAAATATTTTATATATAAATACAAAATATTTTTCTTAAATATACATGTTTGTGTATTTTTATTTATATATATATATATATATATATATAAAAAATAATTATACACAGTGCACCCACATATATTATGTAAACACAAACTTTTATTTTGGAAGCGATTAATTGTGATTAATCGCATCCAAAATAAAAGTTTATGTTTATGATATATACACAAAATAATTATACACAGTGCACCCACAGATATTATGTAAACACAAACTTTTATTTTGGAAGCGATTAATCGTGATTAATCGCATCCAAAATAAAAGTTTGTGTTTATGATATATATATATATATATATATATATATATATATATATACACAGTATATATACACAAAATAATTATACAAAGTGCACCCACATATATTATGTAAACACAAACTTTTATTTTGGATGTGATTAATCACGATTAATCGTTTGACAGCCCTATTTTTTACAGAGGGGATTTTGGATATCTCTCTTTATCATGCCATACATATGAAAATACCGTCAACTGGATGGAAAAACTCTAGTTTTATAGGAACAAAACTAAAATGTGTTGCTGAAGTGCAGATTTATTTGTCGGTGCGGGTGACAAAAAGTCATTTTGAGAGAACCATCCCTAAAGATGTGTATTATCATTTAAATATCTACAAATATAAAGTATAATAAAATAAACACTTGGATGTTTTTTCAACTGGTCTGAAATATGATGATGTTATTGGTAAATTTAACCCAAAATTGCTTGCCCGAAACAATGGTCTTGCCTTAATTTCTGGTATTCAAAATCAAATTTTAAGTTGCAGGATTTTGAGAAACAAAGCAACATTATGAAATATTTTGCATTCTGCACCATTTCTGTTGCAAATCAATAAAATAAATGCATTTTCACTAGGCTTATTTCCATCATTTTCCATTATATATATCAGTTATTTTACTTTTCTTGGACTTGGACACAATCCAAAAGAGACGGTTATTAAATGGTGAATTCATTTCTACAGTCCTAATTTAAATACGGTCATTCTGCCCAATTGTGTCTGATTGTAGTTTTGAGCTCAAAATATAAGTTTGTGAACAGGCGACTGAAGCGCTCTCTCTGCAGAAACTGATCATTGATGAGAAGAAGTATTATTTGTTCGGGAGGAACCCAGACGTCTGTGACTTCACCATCGACCATCAGTCGTGCTCTCGCGTGCACGCGGCCCTCGTCTACCACCGCCATTTGAAACGGGTGTTTCTCATCGACCTCAACAGCAGTAAGTGCATCTCTAGACCAATGAGAAACATTTCTCAGGCTACGTTTCTAAACAAGCATGTATGTATGTTGATGTCATTTAGCACATGGTACGTTCCTGGGACACATTCGCCTGGAGCCCCACAAGCCCCAGCAGGTTCCCATCGACTCAACGATGTCGTTTGGCGCATCCACGCGCGTCTACACCATTCGGGAGAAACCTCAGAGTCAGCCGGGCTCTGGCGTCGGCGAAAGTAAAACTGGGGACGACGAGGAGCTGAAGGGACTTCTGGGACTTCCAGAGGAAGAAACTGAACTGGAGGTACGCAGAAGTTTATTCCTCTTATTCTATATATATGATACACTCATAACTGAATAACACAAGAATGGGAATTCTGTAGTGAAAGACTATCACGTGTCCAGATTTATTATTTGTTTTTCAGAAGACGCTACCAATAGCTGTATTCATCCCTAAAATGCTCAAATTTTTTACAGCAGAAGCAAATGCTATCATTTTGGCTGACGTGTGTATATACACACACACACATATATATATATATATATATATATATATGCTGGGAGGATACACCCATCTTCTGATTCGATGCCAATACGATATGTATTGCAATTTTTTTTTTTAAGAACAAGTATTGCGATTCGATACTGCAATATACAGTATTTCAATTTTTTGTATGATTTAAATTTAGTCTGTAAATGGTGATGATCACATATACAAAAACAAATCATCACATTTTTCTGAGTTTTATTTCAGAAGCATCATTCTCTTGAATAAATGATTCAATAACAGATACTTTTGTTTAACAGTCACTTGTCGCCACTCGGTGGCGAAACAATGTAATCGGTAAAGGCATTGTTTTAAGCACCAAGTTTCTATCAAAAGCTGATTTTGATCGCTATCGTAGTTCATATTTGAACTTTAAAACGTTTATCTGATCATTTTAACTATTCCATCACAGAAATAATGATATTATGAGGTTGAAAAGAGTGTTTGTGAAGCTGTTTCATGACAAGCGGGTCAGCGGCTCACATATAGTGAAAAGATTCAGTGAGTCCAGTGTGTGTGGGGCAAGGCAGGAAACCTCTGAGTCTGACACGGCATCAAGAAATGCCTCGTAAATCTCTGTTGCGCAAGGAGAAAGCCGTACATCAGTTCTGTGCGGAGATGCCGGCGAGTTCTCTGGCCCGAGCTCATCTCGGATGGTCTAGAAGACAGTGGAAGTGTGTGCTGTGGTCAGATGAGTCAGTTCTCAGTCCCAAAGACAAAAGGGGTTTTCTTCAGTTCAGCGACATGTTTATAAGCAAACATCTGTCCTAGTATTGGGGCGGCATCAGTGCAAGCAGTATGGGTGACTTGCATTTGTGTGAGGTATATATTTGGAAGATGACATCTTTCCTGGGAAGCAAGACAATGCCCGCCCTCATTCTGCACATGCTAAAACTGAGTGCTTTCTAGACACTTGCCTGCAGTCCAGATCTGTCTCTTATTGGAAAGGAGTATAGTGAAAATTCACACATATTTTGCTGTTTTTGCAATGAATGGATGTTGCAGTGAATGAACTGTAAATAAATTTTTTTTATGAATTTTGCATCTTTTGGCAGAACCTGACCGAGTTCAACACCGCTCATAACAAGCGCATCTCCACCCTCACCATAGAAGAGGGAAACCTGGATATTCAGAGGCCCAAGAGGAAGAGGAAGAGCTCCAGAGTGACCTTCAACGAAGAGGATGAGGTCATTAACCCAGGTAGAGTGAACCTGAGCCTCAATCCACTACTGAGCTACTTAGGACTTGATGCTTAAGGAAAGGATATTATTAGAAAAATAATGCACACCCGAGGTGGTAATGTGGTTACACTTCGGGTGTGTAGTATTTTTCTAATAATTCAACAGTTATTGCTCTTATGTTACCACACCTCGAAACATTGTTCAGATGATGTATTTCTAGACGTTTGTCAACTTTGGGTCATTAAAACGCTCTTGTATGTAGGACTAATTCCTTACGCATCTAATCCCAAGCCTCCGTTGCTATATTCAAAATGTCATTTTAGATCTAGTAACAGAGGTTTGAGCCACTAGGTACGTTTACATGGACACCTTTTGGTTTAGTCGGAATGAAATCAATCCAATCAACTATTTATTGCATATTACTACATAAACACCATGACGTAAACGCTGGCACAATTTATCAACAGCAATAAGCTATCACTTTGCTTAAATGCATGGTATTCATTTATTGTGAACTGCAAACAGTTGAACGCTCTACAGTGACGTGTGCAGCGCTCATATTTATTGAAGGGCACCTATTATGCCCCTTTTTACAAGATGTAATATTGGTCTCTGGTGTCCCCAGAATGTATTTGTGAAGTTTCAGCTCAAAATACCCCATAGTTAATTTATTATAGCAATTTGAAAAAGTCATTTTGGGGCCTGTTTTAAAATGAGCTGTTTTGGTGTATACCACCTTAAATGCAAATGAGCTGCATATCCCCGCCCTGCCTTTGGATGAGGGCGTCACTTGATACCTATGGCAGTCGGTACTGAGAGAGTGAGAGAAACTGCTGTTTTGAATGTCATTCAGCCGTATATGTTTGAATCGGAATATATAAATAGTCTCTGATCAGACCCAGATGACGAAGAGACTCCGGCAGAATAAACACAAATGAGAATGGACCAGTACGTCTCGGTATGGTTATTTGATACATTTATGTACTTATGGAGTTGTAATCGCATCCCCTTTGCAATTATGGATGTGCAACACACACAGACACACACAAACACACACACAGACACACACAAACACTAATGTTGGCGCAATTTTTTTAAACTACAAACACATACTGTGATAAAGTTTGCTACGTACAAGCGAAATTACATTTATGCGAGGGACGGGGACCTGTTGCGTCATGTTTACTTGTCATACAGGTGCTTCTGTGGCAAATGTGAGGAGATGGCTAACATACAGAACAACAACATATATGCAGTTTTTAATACAATATCTTAAATATAAATAAATATAACGTTATATATTTATAAATGTGTGGTTACACACTATACAAACAAGGTTTAAATTATATACACAGACATACTGCGACGACAACAAATTTAGACGCATTTGTTGTTGAATTGGCTGACATCGACTGAAATGACTATTTGCTCAAAAATCATAAAATACACTTACTGTTACTG